TTTCCATTGGAGAATCTTGGAATAACAATATGCATTATTTTGAGTGTGTAGCTTTTCATTACTAATTTTACAAAAAGTTTTCAAAAAAAAAGGACCAACAATAGTTACAATAGAGGAGATGAAGAACTCCCAATGGAATGTTCAACAACAACACCAATTGTTACAATTCGAACGATGCTATGAGTCCATTTGGGTGGGTAATGGGTTTGAGAAGAAGAAAGAAACAATGAAGGAAAGAAGAAAAAAAAAACTAAGAGTTGAAATATTTTTATTATTTTATTTCATAAAATTATATAATACTTATAATTTCACATTCTTACAAAACAAAACTCACTTCATCACAAAATAACAATTGGCCACACTTATATCGTTATCAAATAATCCTCCTAGCAATAGAGGTTATCTCCAGGGGACACATTAAACTGGCCACAATAATTTTGATAGAGATTAACACGATCATTGACTGCATCCTGGTTACCGCCTCCACACTCAACGACACCATTGATAGCTCGAATTGTAGCTCCGAAACCTTGACTAATGATGCCATGCACATTTCTCATCCAAAACCAGAGCGCAGTTTTAAAGGAGATGATGGCATCAGTACTAACGCCTTCAGGCCAATTCAAGCCATCAAAGCCAATTTCTTGGCCTGCGGGGCCGTAATTATAATTCCATGAGATCTGGAGGGGACCTCGCCCATAATACATCTTCCCTGGGGTACATGGGTACTCTTGAGCATTGGGGTCACAGTAAGGATTGGATTTATCTTCTTGATCTTTGAAGCACATGCCTATATTCATATTAAGAATTTTATTATTTTTATATAAATAATGCGGTTCACACATAATATTTAGGGAAAATAGCTAAGTATCAAAAAAATTATAAATGTTTAGTTCATATTAATTGTTTTTAAGCAAGTTAGAAAAGCTTAAATAAGATTTTTTGTGGAAAATATTATGTACGGATATTCTAGATAAAATTTTGATCTAGAGTTATTCCAAATCTGTCTGATTTGATTTGATTTATGTGCAATTCAAATTTTAAAGAATAATATGTGACAAGCAAAATTAAGAATAAGTGTATAAAAGTAATCTTATTCTTTTAAAAATTGAAATTTTTGAAGATCATTGTTCATAAAATTAGATTCTCACGTGTGGTCTCATGAGAAACATGAGCGAAAAAGGCAGCGATCTCTCGTTTAGAGTCATCAATAGAGGAACTCTCTGCAAAACCAGGATAACTTTGCCAAGCATTCAAGAATGCATCTCTTGTGTAGAAGCCATTGCCCTCACAACTATGATCGGCTTGACTCGTTAACTCGTCAAAGAACTCCTGGCTCACTATATAAGCACAACCGCAATTCTGCCCAGCGATGAGCTCACCAGCGGCGATGATGAGGAGGAGAGGTATGAGAAAGATTGGTTTTACTCCGTCCATTGTCTGGATTAATAAGAAATGGAGGTGGTGGTATTTATAGAATTTTCTTAATTATTCTCGCTCATGGAGTTGAATAAGTAGTTGTACTTTGCAGCAGGAAACAAAGTGCTTTATTTTAAAAACATTAATTATTGTATTTAAATAATTTATTTGTATCAATCAATGATTTGTGCTTAGTTGTGTCTAACTTTCTACTTGGATGTATGAATTTGGAGAAATTTTTACGTGCAGAGTCCGAATATGTTCAGACTCCAATTAGATTGCGTCATGTCTCCTGTACACAGTGGTGTGTACAGAGTCCAGACACGAGCTACTTCTGGACTCCACACATAATAATTTCTCATGAATTTGACCGTACAAAACTATTCACAACTACTATAGATTGTCCATTAATTATATCGATAAAAGAAGTTATGACTAATTACGTCTTTTTCATCAGTCTATGGTAAACTTTTCATCTATGGTTGTGATGATTTTCTATGGTAGATAAAGTACGTCATTTGTATTCTAAACCTTAAACCTAAAACTACGTTTGACATTACATAAGCTACTACGAACATGTCCAAATATAGATCAAACCGTTTTAAAGCATGGTTCAATCATTAAACATACTTTTGATTAAAGTCATATTGTTGAAAGTTTCTCAAACTTATTCAATCAAATAAATTACCAAAACTCTCACAAAAATAAGCGAAATTGAAAATTGAGATAGAGTAATTTTAACCTAATTTGATCCAAACAACTTCAACTTCTCCAACTTGTTTGATGGGAATTCGTCCACCTCCGATTCTTCGTGGCCAGCATGGTGGTGAATCGGCTTGAAGACCCTGATTTTTTTGGATGGATCGACTAAATCTCATTATTTTCTCGATATCTTATATGGTGTTTCCCCTGCTTTGGCCTTTCTCGAGCTGAAATTCATGTCTTGTCGTGGGCTTTTGTCTTTTTGGATCTCGAAGGAGGAGATCTTGGCTCTTGTGGCTCCCATGGAATTTGCATTGGTCGATAAATTTCCCACTCGTCGCCCTACTCTAGTTGCTATTCAAAATTTTTTTTTTCAATCTTAAGCTCATTAGAAAATTTGATGTGATCCATCTGAAACCTTTGCATGTTTTGATTTAACTTGTTAATGATTTAGATTATAGTATAAATTTCTCTCATAGATCTTATTTTGTGAATAACTGCGATATGAAATTGACCAAATAGTCTCCATTTTTTGACATTGGTGTGGATTGTCACGTCAATCCCATATGGGTGTCTTTCTCGAACTTGAGACCTCACCTTTTCTCCTGTCATATTCTTCACGGTCTAGGATCCTTATTTGGTCATCCATTAAAAATCGACCATGCTACAGCCTATGGTTTGCATCCCTCTCTTATGCGTGTTCTGGTTAAACTGAATATTACCAAAATGTACCACGATCGGCTGTGGTTAGGCCCAAAAAATTTGGCTACATTCAACATGTCGAAATGCATGGAAGTTTGTCCTGCTTTTTGTGTTCATTGTAAATCCATTGGGCATAGGAAATTTGAGTGTATTATTCTTCATCCTCATTTATCTATAAGTCCTGTGACCTCAAACCCTATGATTCCTATTGCCAATGCAATTAATCCCGTGGTTGGTGACCTTTTGATTCCTATTCATCCCGTTGGACGTGCAGCAGCTGCTGTTGTTATGGGAATTATAGAAAATATAGTTAATGCTACTTCCAATTATGTTCTTCCTAATGCTGATATGGTGAATATTGGGATGTTTTTAATGAGAATATTGTTGTTTTGAATGAAGGGGATAATATAGCTACAGAGCCTTCTAAGGGTGATAACACTGTTATGGTTGATAATGCTTTGGACTTAACTAGTTCCAGTAATTTTGATATTGCTCTTGTTAAGTTGCCTTATTTGGATTAGTTGGCTATTAGGGGTGAACAAGTAATTGTAATGATATAGTTGATGGTTTGGATAGTACCCCTTTGAGGATTATTTCCCCTCATGTTGATGTGAATGTTAATGTGGCTGCTCAAGATTTGGTGATTCCTCATAAACTTCCCTTAATTTCTATTCTTTATTTTTCTCCTTCTAATGTTGAGGATGAGGCTATGAGTGATGTGCAGATGCTGGTTGATGTTCTTGTTGATCAGGCCGATTAGTGCTCTCAATCGACCGAGGATTGGTGTTTTGATGGGTCTCATGGTGGCCTATTAAACTGTATGATTGATGATTGTAATTTAAACGTGGTGCGAGTGGATTCTAAGTGGTTTTATTTTGGCAAGAAAAATAAGAAGAACAAAAAAAAAACACCGTGCCTTGAGGTTTTAAGTTTTGCTTTGGTTTTGGTCTCATTTTTTGTGTTGGAGTGCTATTTCTTGCAGCTTGTTCGATTGCTGTCTTGCTGCTCATTCTCTCTTATTGGTCTTGTAGCCTTGGTTAATGTTGTTGTCCAGCTTTGCCATTTCTAATTTTCTCGGTAGTTGTTGTGGTTCCTTTGTTGCATTGTTGTTGTTGCTATGTCTTTGTTCAGGTTGATAAGTTATTTGGCCTTTTATATTGTTGGTCTGGTTTTCTTTTACTTTTTATTGTATTTAGATTGAATCGAAGGTTAGTAGGTTTTGCTTTAAATATTGTACTTTAGAGGACTTTGGATTCATTAAAAACTTGTATCATTATTTTTTTAACTAACGCGTTGATCTCTATTGTGGATTTTAACCCAAAAAAATAAAAGAAACTTGTTTGATGGGCAAAATCAACTCTACATCCTCCAAATTTCACTCTCTATTTCTCTCTCTCTCTCTCTCTCTCTCTCTCTCTCTCTCTCTCTTTAGGATTCTCTTCCTCTCTCTCCTAGCTAGTTTCCCTTAGTAAATGCTAAATGAATTTGAAATTCTTACCATGTCCAATTTAGGTCATCACTATATAGAAGAAGTCCTTACCTTTAAGGAGCTTGCGAACCTATAATATAGCTCGAATTTTAGGATCCATATATTTGTAGTTTCCATGAGAGAATCTTGGAATAACAATATGCATTCTTTTTAGTGTGTAGAATCCCATAAGAGTTTCATCACTAATTTGACCTAAAGGGTGGATCGAGGTAGTATAATTGGACTAGTGTAGGAAGAGTTATGTTGTTATTTTACTTCTAGAAGAGTAATCCTAAGTTGGATGTCATGAAGGGACATATTAATGGAGGCATATATATTGTTCATTTATGATATTTAAATAGTTGATCATTTTCATGATACCTTTAATCAATATTTGGAAGTTATGAGATTGAATGTTGTAGTTGCTACCGAAAGTGATCAACAAAAAGGCCAACATTTGTTACAATAGAGTAGAGGCAGAGCACCAGATGGAAGGTTCAACAACAACACCAAACGTTATGTGTAAATAACAAGTCGAATGATGACATGAATCCATTTGAGGTGGGTTCGAGAAGAAGAAAAAAAAATGAAGAAAAGAAAAAAAAAAAAAGAGTTGAAGTACTTTTATTATTCCATTCCTTAAAATTATAACATACTTATAATTTCACATCATTATAAAACAAAACTGACTCTATCTCAAATAATCTTCTTAGCAATAGAGGTTATCACCTGGGGACACATTAAACTGGTCACAATAATTTTGATAGAGATTGACACGATCATTGACTGCGTCCTGGCTCCCACCTCCACACTCAACGACACCATCGATAGCTTGAATTGTGGCCCCGAAACCTTGACTAATGATGCCATGCACATTTCTCATCCAAAACCAAAGAGCAGTTTTAAAGGAGATGATGGCATCGGTACTAACGGCTTCAGGCCAATTCAAGCCGTCGAAGCCAATTTCTTGGCCTGCGGGTCCGTAATTATAATTCCACGAGATCTGGAGAGGACCACGCCCATAATACATCTTCCCAGGGGTACATGGATACTCTTGAGCTTTGGGGTCACAGTAAGGACTGGATTTATCTGCTTGATCTTTGAAACACATGCCTATGCATATTAAGAATTTTATTATTTGTGTAAATAATGCGGTTCAAACGTAATATCTAGAAAAATAGTTAAGTATCGAAGAAATTATAATTGTTTAGACCATATTAATTGTTTTTAAGCAAGTTAGAAAAGCTGAAATTAGAATTTTTTTTTTGTGGAAAAAATTATGAACGGATATTCTAGATAAAATTTTGATCTTGAGTTATTCCAATGCAATAAATAAATAAATAAATAAATAAATTGCTATCAAGAGTCATACAGCCAAAAAAATTTCTTAATATTATGATTATCTACTAGTTAAGCAGTATTGTCTAATTGCTTAATTTTATTTGCCCAATAGCTTTGATATATTAATATATAATAATTTAAGTATTTTAAATATACGACAAGCAAAATTGAGAATATTTGCAGTAAAAATAATATTATTCTTATAAAAATTGAAAATTTTGAAGATCGTTAATTGTTCGTAAAATTAGATTCTCACGTGTGGTCTCATGGGAAACATGAGCGAAAAAGGCAGCGATCTCTCGTTTAGAGTCATCAATAGAGGGACTATCTGCAAAACCAGGATAACTTTGCCAAGCATTCAAGAATGCATCTCTTGTGTAGAAGCCATTGCCCTGATCACAATTAGGATTAGCAAGACTCGTTAACTCGTCAAAGAACTCCTGGCTCACTAAATAAGCACAACCGCAATTCTGCCCAGCGATGAGCTCACCGGCGGCGATGATGAGGAGGAGAGGTATGAGGAAGCTTGGTTTTACTCCGTCCATTGTCTGGATTGATAAGAAATGGAGAAGGTGGTATTTATAGATTTTTTTTTTTAAATTTATTCATTGCAATAGCAGTGTTACCATTTTAGCGGGATTTTTATAGTCATATATGCATGAGGAGGAGAGGTATGAGGAAGCTTGGTTTTACTCCGTCCATTGTCTGGATTGATAAGAAATGGAGAAGGTGGTATTTATAGATTTTTTTTAAAAAAATTTATTCATTGCAATAGCAGTGTTACCATTTTAGCGGGGCAAATTTAGTCATGCTACTAAATTCTTATTTATTAACATATTTTATACATAAATTTTTATAATATTATATATTATCTTGTTTTCCTCTCGCTCATGGAGTTGAATAAGTAGTTGTACTTTGGAGCTGGAAACATAGTGATTTATTTTGAAAACATTAATTATTAGATTTAAATAATTTATATGTATCAATCAATGATTTGTGATTAATTGCGTCTAACGTTCGAATTGGATGTATAAATTTAGATAAATTGTTATGCACGGAGTCCAAATATATTCAGACTCCAATCAGATTGTGCCAAGTCACATGTATACAATGATGTGTACAGGGTTCAGATACGAGCTACGTACGGACTCCGCTCGTAATAATTTCTCATGAATTTGACCGTAGAGAACTATTCACAATTACTATAAATTGTCCATTAATTGTATTCTTGAATTAATCCCTATAGAACTGTTTGCAATAAATACATATTCTTCATCGTATGTGACAAATTTCACTAACATTTCATTTGGTCGCATTACTTGTCCTTATTAGCAATATATGAATAATTTTTCAATTAATCTTAAAATAAATTGCGATAAAGTTTTAATTGGGGTCCATATTTTGTATTTTATATGCCTCATAATATTCGAAGTTGGATAAATATGTTCATTTATTTTCTTAGAGAAACACCGTCAAAGGTTCAATTAAGACAAAAATATTAATGCTTATGACCCCATTGTTAATGCTAAGAAATTCCTCTAAATGAGTTCTTCAAGTGTCCTAAACTAGAATTTTCTAGGGTCCTTATTCATCAATGGTTACTGAGAATGATTGATAATGATTTTAGTGATGACTAGTACATCACTAAATTTGCACTGATCAATGTGTTAGTTAGATAATTACCTAAGTGAAGAAAAAAACTTCAAGAACTCAGATATGAATAGAGCATTCCTGGAGTGCACCGAGAGGGTAGGGATGATGTCTTGAAACTTGGGTTAAATTTATTTGTTTATGATATCTTTTTTAATCATAATAAACATAATGTTATTGTTATTGAGATGCTTGAATTAGTTGAAGATGAGAAGAACTTTTTTAATACCCACAAGGTAATATTTCAAAGAAGAGGACACTAAGAAGGCTAAAGAGAAATATGATATACTATGAGATTATTGCCTTGATAAAAAAAAAAAAAGAAGACCCAACTAGTAAAATGTAATAAGATTTGTCATATCATTGCAATAATAAGCTTATATAACCATCCAAGAGTTAAGAAATAAAGGTGCAAAGTTTCTTTGAGAGTAAGAGCCATTGATATTGAACTGAAAGAGCAACAAAATGCCCATAAGTAAGTATTATATACTAGTACAAGTGAATAAAGATGTGAGTACAACAACAACAACAAGCCTACATCCCACTAAATAGAGTCGGATAAATGAATCATTTTTGTCCGCTATCATATTAAGAATCAAATTCTCATGTAATAAGAAGGGGTCATTGTTAATATTTTCTAACCAAATCTTTTTAGGTCTTGAGCTTCGAACATGGATATTGATGAAAATTAAACATGTTGACTGTAGGGGTGTCAAAATCGAGTTGCAGGTCGAACCCAATTCATACCCATTATAGTTTGACACAACCCGGACTTGACCCATCGAGTTTCCAGGTTGAATTTGACTCGACATTAAATTGTTTCTCAAAAAATGGTTACCTTTGCAACGAGCGAGTTCCCTCTTCTCATCGTCGTTACTTCTGATCCAACAAATGATGAGCTATCATGACTTTCGCTCTGAGCCCCCTCCCGTCAACGCCGTTACTTCCAATCCAACGATACCTCCCATCGTCATCATTCTAAACGGCAAGCTATCACGACTTCTGACCCAAGTAAAGAACAACAAGCTTGGAGCTCCCTCCCGTTGTTGTCATTGCTTTTGATCCAACTGCAGAACAGCGTGTCCCTCCCATCATCAAAGAAGGTGAACACGCAAAGCAGGCAAAGAGTGGACTACGTTATGGTGAGAAGAGGAAAACAAACCCTAAGCGGTTTGACCCAAAAGCGGGTCAGATTTGGGTCAACTTCGGGTTAGCAGGTTGAGCAGAACCCTACCCTATTTTTTAAACGGGTCAAATTTTAGAACTGGAACTTGACACGTTTGTCAAACGGGTTGACTCTAACCCAAAATTTTTTACTTGGGTTTTTTGGTCGTGTCAAATATTGACACACCCAGTTGAGTGTACTTATATGATAATCCTAAAGGAAGAAAGAAAATTGTTTATGCAATGAAGTTGTTACAGACAAAACTATTAGGAAATTGATATACATTTATGACAACTTGAAACATTGGAGAAGACATATTTGTTATAAAAAAAGTAATTAAAATACATAAATAATTCATCATTCAAACATAATTAATGCGCAAAAATAATAAAGACACAAACCTAGCGCCCTCCCGGAACTCAAATGAAGAGGCGAGCACTAACAAACTTAAAATTAATTTCATAAATAATAAAAAAAATTATTTTTATATCTAATATTTAATTTTTTATTTTTATTTATATAATAATCTAGCATTAAATCATATCAAATTATGTATGTAAACATACATTTAATTTTAGCGAAGTTAATGCAATTTTTTTAATGTGATTTAGGGATTAATTTTTTATATAAGAGAATTTGCATACATAATATAAGATTCATATATATTTTCATGTATAACACGTAAATCTAAAATAAAATTTCTATTGTACGGCTAAATATTTTAAGAATCCGGTTTAAGCTAAGTCAACCCAATTCAAATTTATGATGAACTCATCACATTAAAAAAAAAGAAAAAAAAGAACTCACCCAGTTAGATGTTTCTTCCACCTAAGTCAGCGACTTCTTTCAATGAAGTCGATGACTTTTTTCAACCATGTCAGTGACTTTCTTCATCCTGGGAGTGTAATTAAGTCAACTCGAGCTCGACTAATGCCCAACTCGAGCTTAACTCACCAATCAAATCAAGAGCACAAACTCGAGTCAAGCTCGAAAGGTGAGTTCGAGCTCAGCTCGTGGCATTGAAGAAGAGCTCGCTTTTTTCATTACCAACATATTTTATTAGATGAAAAAAATTATTTATTGATTTATCTAAGAAAAATAATAATTAGTTATAAAATTACAAGCCTGCTCATGAGCTCAGGAGTTGAGCTTCATCAAGCTCGAACTTCAGCTCACTTAATAGACGAGCTCGAGTTTTAGCCTATGTTCGTAGCTCCATAAGCCCAGCTTGTGAGCTCATTATTGAGTAGAGCTCGAGCCGGCTAGGCTCACTTAGACCCCTACTCTAGCCACTTTAGCGACTTCTCCGATCAAGTGGATGTCTTCTTTCAACAATTAGTGCCTTTCTTCAGTCAAATAAATGACATCTCTCGATCAAATGTAAAGATTGGACTTTCATTAGAATACTGACTAAATGAATGACTTATTCAAGGCTTAATTAATAATCAAATAGAATCAGGCAAGACAACCTTTTGTAATCGTTTTTACTTATATATACTTATATGCACTCAATCATGTATCATTTCTGCTGTAACCTAAATATATAAATAAGAGTCAGAGGTAGAGCTTTAGACATGCGATTCTCTCTATTTAAGCTTATCTAATAATATCCCAAATCTTCACACTCTAAAAACTCTTTTTTTCTCTCTCTTCTTCATTGCTCTATTCTTTGAGAGTAAGATTTTAATATAATTCTTAAGCATATTGGATTCAACTATCATCAAAAGTGCTATAAAAATAGTGCATGCCAAGAACAAGAAGCTAGATGTTATGTGAAGCATAGAAAAACAAAGAAACTTCAGTGAATATAGAGAATCGCAAGAGATTAAGTCACCACAAGACAATCAGAAATAAAGGCAAGAAGGAAAAAGAAAGCTGCAAATAACAAATGGAGAATATATTTAATACTCAATTTGCCAATGCATAGAGATTGTTGAAATTTGTAAGGCTTTTTATAGATGAGGAAAAGAGTCGAATGAATGTTTGAGGAGCATTATCACTAGATTTGATAAGGTGATGTGGCTTAAGCTTCCCTCACCTAAGATGTCCATAAGGGACTGTTCCAATATGCACTCGGTTTGCAACAACCAAGGACTTCTACCAAATTATTAGAATTAGACAATAGTAATGTAAATATTAAAGAATATAATTTGTCGATAATAAGATGAGAGAAGTTTAGTAATTGAGGGAAATTTCAATAATTTTCTAGGGATCAACAAAGTTTCTAAGAGGATTAAAGTGAAAGAGAGAGAGATCATAAAAGTATTGAAGAAGAAATTTAGAGCATTAGTGACCTCATCTGATTGAGGGACAAGTATGAGATGTCAATCATCTTGATGACCATATGAGGGAGAGGGCAATGTTACAAAAAATGTTAATGTTATTTTGTCTTGGCTTCAATTTTTATTTTTTAACATTTATTGTGCTCAATTTCAAAATTTTGTTGCACTAATGAACTAATTTTCATTTATATATGTGAGTAGGATTTTTGGCAAATTTTAGGGTTGTAAAGAGTAAAACTAGCATTGATGCTCTAATGTTAAGATAATTTATTAGTAGTTTATCAAGAGTAGCATTGACCTGGTATGATGATTTATCCAGATAGATCAGTGAAAAATTTTTCCTAGTTGGAAAATATGTCATAAAAAGATTTGATAGGGCACAACATCATATCTCCATTAACGATTTAGTTGAGAAATATAATCCAAACGAGTCATTGGTAGATTATAT